TATGCTTGGTCGGCTCAGGAGATTTTTGTGGCCTAGCATATGTGCTGATTCCTTAAGTTTACGAATTTTCCAGTGGTGTTCCATATCTATGATTTCAACATGATCCCACAGGGGGCGGTGATCTCACTTCTCTCTCCATATGTGGTCAGCCACACCTGATTTTCCTACTTCCCCTCGTGTTACAGCTTTCTGGTGTTCTTGAAACCTTACCTTGAGGGGGCGGCCTGTTTCTCATTTATATTCCTTTCCGCAGCTGCACGGGATAGCGTACACACAGTCTTTAGTCATGTTCCTCTCTGTGGGGGCTCTCACTTGTGAGAGATACCTGCGAAGTGTTGTCACGCTTTTGAAGGTTGTCCTGATGTTATATGGACCGCAGATCCTTTGTATTTTCTCTGATAACCCCTTCAATGATAACAAAGTTGCAATATGAACTCTGGTAAAGACATGCAATGATAACAACAAAAATTGCAATATGAGCACTGGTAAAAATGATGCTGAAAAACATTAGGTTTATAATACTCAGAAGTTCATACCAAGGACACATGGCACAGTGGATAAAGGCGTTGGTTAGATCCAGTGACAGACCCAAAGAAGGTGAGTTCAATTCCTGGTTAAGGCAGTGGAGAACTTTCAGAGGGAAAATTAGCAGGAGATAACTGATAACTGACATCCATCAAACATGGCACGTGGAACTAGAACAGTCTACCCCAGTGATCGAAATTCTTACCACCTGAAGAAGGCCGGAGCGTACAACGGCCGAAACGTTGCGACAAATATGGCGACAAAGATGAGAACAATAGTCCGACTAATGTAGATACCCTTTTTTTCTGTTATCTATAGTCAGCATCAACACTCGACCGTAGCTAGAATCATCGAGCCAATGCGAACGATCCTTTCTTTAGCTGTATAGTATGTGCTTTGCCAGGGCTACATACAATTTTGAATTCAGCGTTACTTTCCCCTAGAAAGGCTGCCACCTAAGGCTAAAGAACCTAGTCTGTCCTGCTATTTTACCCATTACACCACCCGCACATCCAAGCCTACAGTACCTGATATTCCCAAGCGGTCACCCACCTTTTATTTTTTTTATCAAGTATTAATTGGGAGGGGGGTGGGGCTAATCGTTAACGGCAGAAAAACTGGAATCATCGTCATCATTCGACTGGAATCATTAAAGCAATGTACAGGGATCCTTTCTTTAGCTGTTTTGAATTCAGAGTTACTTTCTGCTAGAAACGCTGCCAGCCAAGGCTATAGAACCCAGTCTATTTATTTATAGCTGGGAAGAGAAGTATTCATACTTTTCCCAAGGGTATTAGCAAGTAAGTGAATGTAATAAATCCGACTGGAATTCGAACTCGGCTCTCCGATTCCTCAGTCTGATCCGCTATCCATTACTCCACATAGTAAATCATTAGCAACGCACTTATAATATACCCGTAAAGACCCAATTTTCTCGGTAACTCTTCGATTAAACAACCAATCTAGGAGAAGAAAAAATTCTTAATTCAAACCAGTTGTAGATTCGGCAAACACTTCCACCCCCAAAGTTTTAGGCTGGGTCATAAATAAATTCTGTTATTTTTTTTTTATCAACTTTACTCTTCAAAGATCACGTATAATTACATTTTATTTAATGATACATTTACCATTATTTGCAAATACTTCTGGCCACTTAACAGGTAGTTAGTTCTTCGATATCCTTTCAATAAAAATCCGCAGGTTTTCATGTGAAAAAAATGTTTTCATCAAACTATTGCGTCAGGTTTTCACTCCAAAAATCGCCTCATTCCCAAACATCAAAGCGTTTTTCAGAGGTCGAAAAATATAATAATCGGTTAGTGAAAAATCAGGTAAATATGGCGGGTAGAACAGACCAGCCGAGTTCCAAACTGTTTTCCTTTTCTTTTCTTTTTTTTTTTTTTTTTGTTTTGCTGTATGCAGCGTCACGTTTTCCTAAAGGAGAATAAAATGTGTTCTATTGCTGAACACTGACACTTTTCGACCAAAGTGTTATGGACACGTTGCAGCTGCTGGACGTCTAAATGTTCATTTAGTGTTTTGTCATGTTTTAAGAAGTTTAAATGAATAATATACCAGCGATCCCATCAAACGCACAATATTACCTTTCTTCCAGAGAGCTCAGATTGTGGGGTCGGTTGAGGAGATTTGTCTTCGTTAATCAACTGCATTTTGCATTGAATATTGTCGTATGCAATCCACTTTTCATCACCTGTTAAGAAACGGTTACTAAGATGCTACATTCGTCATGAGAATTGGTTCCCAAAACAGAAATTGCCTATGACTGAACTTAATGTATAGAATTTACATTTTATACAGTATTGGAAGTTATCTAAGAACCATTTCAACCATACGGGCGGAATGTGGGTAACTTACATACAGTCTTGCTCCATTTTATATAAGGAGGGTAAGTATAAATAGAATTCGTGACTACGAACGCTCCTTGGGTCAATCCTTGTGGGACAAATGGATGTTTGCCTTGTTCAGTTGCATTTGAAAATTTACTATCCATTCTTTCATTGTTCACTCAGTGCAAAGCCCAAGTATTAATATTATAACCATCCGAATTACACGCACCTTGCAGTGTGTCACACATTTTTGTAAGAAAATGATGATTGATGTTAAATCATTCTTATTATTTGTGAAGAAAAATAATGCATTTCAATAATACTCAATGATCTTGCAGATGTGACCTCCATCTTCTGGCTTTCTCCTTCTATATCTTGGGTTGGATTCATTCCCTTGTTCAAATTTAAATTTGATTTAAATCTAAGGGGGAAAAATCAGTGGTGGAGGGTTGTTTAAAAAAACTGCTTGATCTGATCCCTTTGATATGTATTTGATGCAATACTTGATTGAATGAATTGATGAGCAGATTTCAACATTGATATGACAGTTGAATTGTCGCAGCAAATATGCACTACCCACTGATTGGTGATTGCTTGCTCAACTTGACATCCATATTGTCTCATTTTGATCTTGCCATGTGATCTCCATCTTCTGGATTTCTCCTTTTCTATCTTTTGGAGAGGAGTCTTTCTCTTGTTCAAATTTAAATTTAATTTAAATCAAAGGGAAAAAATTCACTGGGTGGGGCGTGACCACCCCCTCCGAACTCACTTTAATCAAAATGAAATATACATACCCAAGTACCCTGGGTAATATAGTTGCAGAATATATATGATTATGGGGTCTATCTTCAAAACCCTAGGTGGTCGATAACAGAGGCTACAACTTTATATATAGAGATAATTAATATATAGAAGTTATTATATATTGGACTTAAGCCAAAATCGTTTGAAACACAAGTACAAGACCGTATCAACTGGCAATGTTCCATCAATTCGGAACCAAAAATTTCGATGCCAAAAGAAAACAAAAGGAAGGAGTCAAGCGACAATAGAGAAAGGTTCGACAAATCGACTTCATCTCCCACTAAAATTATTATGTAGTCAATGCCATCGGCTTCCCATGCAAGAATTGGTCTACTTAATCATCAAGGCTATCATCATATAGAAAGCGATTAGAATAGAAATTAAATTCTTGGATATGAGATAATAATAAATATATAAAAGTTATATATATATATATATATATATATATATATATAGAGATAGAGAGAGAGAGAGAGAGAGAGAAAAGTTGCAAATTAAAAAAAATAATAATGTTTTTATGAAAGTATTTATGTATATATATATATATATTTGATATTTCAGATTGACCTCAATCTTTCTTCAAAAAAAACTTTTTCTATATATACATATTAAGAAAGTATACGTGGCTTCTCCTTATGCCAGATAGATAGATAGATAGATCGATAGATAGATAGATAGATAGATAGATAGATAGATAGATAGATAGATAATATTAGTGGTCAATATACATATATATATGTGTATATAAAATTAGTGATTAGTGGTTTAATCTTTAAAATTTAGTTAGCGAAGGAATTTCACCATTTTATATTATTAACTTTACTAATTTACTTTTTGTATGAATGATTCATTGTAATATAAATTAAACTGCACCACATACATGATATATATATATATATATATATATATATATATATATATATATATATATATATATATATATATATATATAATTATTATTATATAATTTCTTTACTGATCAGTGAACATTATTTAGTAGGGAATATTAATCCCCTAATTTGCACTATATATAATAAATATTTTCAAACTACGAACTTACTGATCCACTATCATTTAGCTGCGTATGTCTATAAGGAGATACCAACGTATTCATTTAACCACATATGCGAGCAGATATGTGTTTGCAAAGACTGTATAATAATTACAGTTTAGTAATGCCCACAAATAGATCTAGAGAGAAACAGACTGTCATATCTTCATGATTTTCAGTTAGGAATTAATCGCAAGGCGCACGCAGACGCAGGCGCATGCGTATAGACAGACACATGCAGCCATAAGTGCACACCTAGGCACACAGCTACTCATCCCTGCACTCAAAACATCCCCCAGATACCCGCCCAAATACTTATTGACGATCGTATTGAATCGTGACCCATTGTACAGAAGACAAGGCCATTTCTCACGACAGTGCTTCCACTTCCTTCTCCCTGTGTCTCTCTCCTTGGGAAAGCGTTATCTGCCAATCAACTGCTTTTACTATTTTGCCAATAACCTTTCTTCGTCTGCTTTGCTGTCTCGATCCTTTATTACTTTTCGCTCTCTTACTTTTCATTTCGTTCCGTCCACCACTCTCCGTCGCAAACCCTGACCCGTTCATCACGTGCTCTTCCTAATTCAACCAATAGCGTCAGGCCCTCACTGCCCTGTCGATTACCGCTCATACCCCCGGTCCCCTTCATTCGCTTCCTTCCTCAAAAGCCCGTTTAGCGCGAAAGTTGCCCAGATGCTGTACTATTATAGGCCTTAATAGGCACGGTGTCAGAAACAAAAACCTCTGAAAGATCACCGTATAAAATCTTCTCACTGAAGAAAACGCTGATGCCGATTACCGTCGCTTTGGTGAGTGGTTGGAACTGGGAGAAGCAGCGGGTCAGGCGTCGCCAGCCCCATTACCCGATGGTCGATTCCACGTCCTCTGCGGGCGGACAGGAGTGGAGTTAGGCGGTGAGGCTGTGATAATGAGACCGTAACCAGCGATCGATTCTTACGAGATAAGAGACTAAGATTGGGGTGCAGGTGCTTGTCGTTAGGCTTTATTGTGTGAGTAACTAACGCTAGGAAATATTGAGGGTACCTTTGGAGAGCTGAAGATTCAGCGTCCAACGTGTGCAGAACTTTAGTATTAAAGAGGAATTACGTGATGTGCCTTTAATTAAAAGAAATCTGAAAAACGCGCGTAACGTGTTAGCTATGACTCGATTCAGATTTATTAGGTAAGACATAAATAATTTCTGATTTCATCTATCAACTTTTCAAGAAATAAAGTACAGTTACATTTCATTCGACGATATATTCACCATTATTTAGACTATAGAAATAATTTGATTATAAAAATGAATTGGAACTGAATTTGCAAAAAAAAAAAAAATGGATCGGAAATAATTTTACTATCAAAATGAATTGAAGATGAATTTACTATAAAAAATGCATTGGAAATAATTTTATTATAAAATGCATTGGAAATAATTTTACTATAAAATGCATTAGAAATAATTTTACTATAAAAATGCATTGAAGTTGAATTTACTATAAAAATGCATAGGAAATAATTTTATCATAAAAATGCATAAAGTTGAATTTACTGTAAAAATGCATTGGAATTGAATTTGCTATAAAAATGCATTGAAGTTGAAGTTACTATAAAAATGCATTGGAAATAATTTCACTATAAAAATGCATTGAAGTTGAATTTACGATAATCCACTGAGTACGCTGCCACTGGCATGTAGTAGTTAGAATCATACATTCGTCACTGTAAATGATTCCACAAAAAGAAAATTATTTATGACTCAACCTAATCTATCTATCTATCTATCTATCTATCTATCTATTATATTATTATATGTTAGTGTAAGTATTTACTCTGCCCCCCTCCCCCAATTAGGACGAGATGTGACACAAGGTCTATTTTTAGGTGGGGACCCGAGCGCGTACGTTCGGGACAGGAACAAAAATTCCAATCAGCTCATGAGCGCACTCTGTCCAAGGACAGAGGCGCAACTGAGAGAAGATAAGTAGATGTGTACCTACTCAAAAAGAGTAAGTTACATGTTAGTGTACATTATTTAACTGCCATGTATGTTTAGTAGTTAAGATTATACATTCTCACTACAATTGGTTTCGAAATATGGAAATATCTTACGATTCAACGAACTAAAATTGTAGAAACCTTTCATATTTTCATACGTAACCCCAAAATATATCCCCCTAAAAATTACATAAGATACAGTCCATTTTCTTCTTTTTTGTGATGTTTAGCCAACATCAATTATAGTTCTCATAATATTCCCCTTTTTACTACCACACCCACACCCTTATCTGCCATCCACTTCCACAAGGTCCTTAGATATCAAATTCTTATGTGTCGTTTCATGCCGAAATTTAATTTTCTTTGGTAATTATTTTTTTACTTTTCAAATCTATTGCTGATAATTTTCACTATAGAAATGTATTCTTATTCTTTCATAGTGTTTTGAGCCCAGTTCGAGGTTTCACTATTTGCCCATATCTGGGACCCTAACAGGTGCTACAACCCCAGGCCTGGGTGAACCTGGGAACAACAGCAATTAAGAGGTGTTCCGATTTGCTGCCGGATGTAGTTTATCGTTATACTTAGGACGACTCTGCCTTTGTTATTTTCAGGGTGTTCTATGAGTGTGTGATATGCCCTTCTTTATTGAAATTAAATATAAATCCTCATCCTAAAATTATTAAATTTTTCTTTCATTTCTTTCATTCTTTCTTAAAAAATATGGCCTTGACCGCCTTTGGTTCAGCAGTTGAATTGTTAATTTAATATATAGCATTCAACGATTTCATATGTAGCGTTCAACGATTATTAATTTCATATGTGGCGTTCAACGATTGTTAATTTCATATGTAGCTTTCAACAATAGGTTAATTTCATATGTAGTGTTCAACGATTGTTAATTTCATATGTAGTGTTCAACGATTGAGTGTGTCTCTACTGGTCAGAAAGATCATATTCTCTGCATCGAGAAGGCATGAAAACGGCTGGTTAATAAGTTTATCTCTCGATCTTTCAGAGACAGAAAGTTGAAATCTTCCGGGATAATCAGGAGCTTCAGGGCCAGGATAACCTCTATCTTGCGTGAGTAAAAGCAAAGCGCTTTCAGTGTTGTAATCAAGCCAATAAACTACGTTGAATGACCGAAATACTATCACATATGAAGGGAAACGCCCCAACCCAGACAAGATTTATCTACTCCGAACTATTCATAAAAGAAAAAAAAAGGAATAATGATCAACGAAATCATCGATGATATGAGTGGATAGATCACCATCAATATTATTCAACCGTAGCCAGGATCATCGAACCCATGTGAACGACCCTTTTTTTTAGCTCTGTAGTATTTGCTACGCCAAGGCTACATTCGATAGATAAGTAACCATTGAACAGTTCTCTCTTGAAAATTTTTTTATATTTTCTTTCCTTTCTCCTATTCTTTGTTTATCGCTTCCTTAAGACTCTGTATGTTTATTACATTAACTTAAATATAACTTTACATCTTGAGTTTGTTTTCTATACTTTGTCTTGGTGTATTAGTCCCTGAGTGAAAAATCCACTTTGTTTTTCTTTTAAGCGAAACGCGATCGCAGCCATGTTACGCGAAACGCCATCGCAGCCATGTTACGCGAAACGCCATCGCAGCCATGTTTAGCGAAACGCGATCGCAACCATGTTAAGCGAACCGTGATATTTGGTTTGGTTTGGTTCATTTTCTTTAACGGCATCAACCTCAATGTGTTATTTAATGCCGACAACATTTTAAAGATATATTCCTTTGAATAGAATATGTATTCTTTGGTTTAGATTGGTTTGGTTTATTTTGTTTTACAGCATATTAATTTCAATGGGTTATTTAATGCCGACAACATTTTTAGGATATATTCGTTTGAATACAATATGTATTCTTTGGTTTAGATTGGCTTGGTTTATTTTGTTTTACGGGATATATACCTCAAGGGGCTATTTAATGCGGACATTTTTAGGATAGATTCGTATGAATACAATATGTATTCTTTGGTTTAGATTGGTTTGGTTTATTTTGTTTTACGCCATATCAACCTCAATGGGTTATTTAATGCTGTCAACATTTTTAGGATAGATTCGTATGAATACAATATGTATTGTTTAGTTTATATTGGATTGGTTTATTTTGTTTAACGGCATATCAACTTCAATGGGTTATTTAATGCCTACAACATTTTAAAGATATATTCGTTTGAATAGGATATGTATTCTTTGAATGAGATATTTCGATATTTCTATATTTCAACATTTTTATATTCATTTTCGCATTTCTGCGTCATATTTTCCGTCATCTACTAAAACATTTCCAGATTCTAAGTTGAGTCAATGTTTTCCTATTTCAAGCATTAATTAAGAATTCAACTTACATACGAAAAAGTCTTTATTCATCAAAATATATCCCATTATATTCTATTACACTGGTCAACATGATTTTTGGTGCCAAGAAACAAAACACATTTTATGGTGCTGATCCCGAAAATGATCTTAGTTTTTCATGGTTAACTACTGTTTTTGTTGTACTAATATTGCTCATTTTTGGAAATAAAAGATCAATTTACGATCTTGGCTCTTTGTAAAATTTAGTTAATAAAGGCCGTAGAAACCCATCAATTTTCAGGTAGGCCGAGCAATTTATGACAGCCACCCGAAATAAAACATTTTTATGAGAAAAAAAGTACTTTTAAGTAAAAAATTTGAATTTTGACTATAAATTGGAAAACTTTGGTACATCTATTTTCAAACTAACTGATAAACTTCCCCAGTAATACAATTTAGAAAACCTGATAATTAAGGGAACATCAAACAAATGAAACCCAGAAACCTTCTGTTTGTTATTCATAATTTTATCCCATTACTTTATTCCTTCACTACGGAAGGAAACCAAGCGAATTGAGAGCATTTTTTTACTAAATGCATCCGAATTGAATGCACCTATTCTACTGTACATGATACTACTGGAGTATTAAAAGACACTTAAATGAAATTAAACATGACAATCAAAAAGAAAACAATTTTGCCATAGTTCTTATGTTCACAAAGGTTTTTATTTCTGCTGTTAGTTTATTAAATGATTCGATGAAAATGCTTGTTGGTCTTGATTGTTATTGCAAAAATAGTATTTCTCAACAAACAGACCAATATTTGTCGTTTTAATTACAGGAGAGGAAGAGAAAATAAAGAGACAGACAGACATAGGAAGAGAGATAGAGGAAATGAGAAGGAGAGAAAGATAAAATAGAGGGACAGACAGACTAAGGGACAGAGATAGAGGAAGTGACCCAGAAAAGGAGAGGAAGAGAAAATAGAGAGACTGACAGACAGAGGAACAGAGATAGAGGAAGTGACACAGAAAAGGAGAGGTTGAGAAAATAGAGAGACAGACAGACAGAGGAACAGAGATAGAGGAAGTGACACAGAAAAGGAGAGGTTGAGAAAATAGAGAGACTGACAGACAGAGGAACAGAGATAGAGGAAGTGACACAGAAAAGGAGAGGTTGAGAAAATAGAGAGACTGACAGACAGAGGAACAGAGATAGAGGAAGTGACACAGAAAAGGAAAGGTATAGAAAATAAAGAGACAGACAGAAAGCGGTATATAGATAGAGGAAGTGACACAGAAAAGGAGAGGAAGAGAAAATAGAGGGACAGGGTAACAGAGATAGAGAAAGTGAAACAGAAAAGGAGAGTAAGCGAAAATAGAGAGACATACAGACAAAGAGACGGAGATAGAGGAAGTGACACAAAG